TTTTTAACAGTGAAAGAGTGTGAGGTAAGTAGGAAAACATTTATTATTTGACAGCTGTTTTACAACAGAAATGTTAAATAACCAACAGTAATATTCTGTGATGCAAACTACTCGACGACCGTTTTGATAATTTGCGTGATTCACGTAATTCGTAACCGAATGTGGCAAGGAAGATTTTGTTGTTTTGCTTTTACAACATTTGCACAAATTAACTCCTAATTGTAGGTGTATTTTAAAATAAAATATTATTTGTGAATATTTCAACGGATTACGAAAAATTCTTTCCATTTTTCTCATCTTTTTTAAAGATGTTAAGCCTTGTCACACGCTATGCGTGTCCGTCGTTTAGGTTAGTAACTAATATGCTGTATGCCCTATGTAGAAATAAGTTAGCATTATCAAAGTTATTTGTTTTGCAGTATTGCAGTAATTATACATATGTTGTCAGTAAACCTGTTTCATTGTAATGTTTTGACAAATCACAATATTTGTCCCCCCCCAAGAATTCTCACTCCAAGCTGAAATCAAAAGTTGGCAGCCCTGCATTAGTCTCTGAAAGTTTAGCTGGAAAATGTGATTGGAATGTATTAAATCAAAGTACAGTTGGTAGTGATCATTTTCCTATCAGCAGTACAATTGGTTTAGATATAGCACAAATTGTGGTGGACAGAATGCCCAGGTGGAAATTTAAATCAGCCAACTGGGACACATTTAATAAAGCTCTTAAGAGAGGAAGAAGATCTTTTAACTATAACGATTTTATTGATTATAAAAGAGCACAGGCGATAGTGAGGAGAGTAATACGGACATCTAAGAGAAATTATTGGAGGGAATTTTGCGACAATATTGGGGAAGATATTGAAATTAATGAAGTATGGAGTATGATAAGAAAAATGGGAGGGAAGCAAAGAAATAGCAGCATACCTGTATTAGCATATAAAGAAAGACTTGTAAAAAAGCAGGAATACAATTTTTTGTTTCTGGCTATAGTTCTCAAACTTCCAATCATTATGCGCTCCACACTCCTATCCAGTAGGTGGCGGGAATGCACCATTTAAGTTGGTTTGCCAACCGCCATTAACACCAGAAGAAGAAGAAGAATCCGGCCCCACCCCCTACACAATCTAGGGACTTTTAATTTGGAACTCAGTGTTTCTGAATACGGCACACGTTTGTGATTGAATCCGCTGACTTCACCAAGGCGGCCAACATGGCAGGAGGAAAGAAGAAATCCTCTACTCTACCATCAAAACTTCAGAAAACTCTTTCCTCCATATGGCAGGACAAACACATGGTGTTGTTCAAAGCAGAGTACACGTTCTTGGTCACGGCCGTCCTTTGGTTCCTGGAAATTGGGATTAACATATGGGTGATCCAAAAAGTTGAATGTAAGTGCAGTAGAATCAATAATAGGCGCGTTTCCATTACAGATTTGCGCAAAACTTTGGCGATATTTTATAAATGTCGATAAAAAAGTATTGCGAAA